TTGAAGGGGGCAAAATAGATATTCGTATTCCATTACGAAATCGGTTAACAAAGTGCATCGAGCCGAAGGGTCTTCGCTTTCTTCGGACGAGCTTGCTGGATAAAATACACTATTTCTATGTTCTGTGGACACGCTCGCTTCCACTCGTGATCAAAACGAAATTTGTTTAACTTGTCTGACAGTAGTCGTCTATGATAAAGTGTTAGAGGCTAGTAGATTTTTCTTCCCACACTAGTGAGATGAGGCATATTTGGCGAAGTAAGTGTTCATTCATTGGGATTAACTAAAATATACTGCATCAAATCATTACATAACATCCCTTTCGTCTTCTGAGTGACTGGTTTGTGCTACTCCGGGTATTACACTGTTTAGTCCTGCAATATTAATGCTAGAGAAATACGATTTTTACGTTTATTTGATGATAATTTAGTAAAACGAATTAACTGCTCAATACCTTTTTATTTTCTAAATTTATGGGAAAAACAAATTGCATATGTGAATTGCCGGACGGCCAAAGATATATAAGAAGAACACCAAAATGACAGCTGAATAGGAATGTTCGCTTGCGGCTTCAAGAAGTCAGTATTATTTCTAAACAATTACATTATTGCCTATTTTGCCTTTCATTCAGTTTTCAATGCTAGTTAAGAATTGTCAATGACCGAACAATGCATGTTTTGAACACAATTCTACCTGAAGAGAATTATATATTACTGGCATTAAAGTGGAGAGCTAAATTTAAAGTGAAACCGCGTTCAAAACGCTGCATAAAGCAAGGAGTGCTGAAGTGAAGTGAAATGCAAACACTTTTCTTTTTGAAACACCACTCGCATGCTGCATGAAGGTACATACATACCTGTGCATACGTTACTACCCCTTGACGTTAAAATTAGCTCACRTGCATTATATCTCAGACTTSTTWKTGACGTGTGGTGACWWGGTGGMTGSTCTYGGYTCCCGTAGCGACACATTAAACACGCCKTGCTACTCTTAATTGCAACATTTGCTCAAAGCAATGGGGCATATAAGCCTGTGAGCTCTTATGACAACATTTATTACACTCTAATCGCCAAAAAGTCTGAACTTWAAATTRCCTCGATATTCTGATATGAAGATGAACCTAATTTAAATAAATAATAACAGCAAACCACTCTGCATAAACGCAGCCGCGTGTACTTAAGTATGATAAGACGTGTATRTAAACCTGAGTTGCATAAATTTTAAGRGAGTCTGCAATAATTTMGCKTGCTGAKTAATTTTAAGTTATRACCTTATAGATGTTTACCGTMATTTTATCAGCAGMCCAAGCTGTTACAATTGCGATGCAAAGAATAACGGTAAAGTAGCACTGAGTAGTACATTCATATGTGGCACCGCTTGTTTATATTTACACCATCTAGGCGTAATTAAAAAATTTAAATTTACACATCTCTTTTTGCGTTGAAATGCTAATTTTATGCTGGCGTATACTGTAAAAATTTCCAAATTACTAGGGCTCGTACTCAAACAAAATATCTGATGTCATCTGTGTAAAGAAAATTTACTATACGAGTTATTGTTCTGATTCCAATCTTGAACAAATGAGGTAGGGCTAAGTTCGTTTATATCCGGACGTTTCATACTCTTGCAACTTGCAAGGATAAAAGCCGGGTTAATATCTGCAGATACATAAGGTTCCTTAGTTATATGGGGTCTAGGACACATTTCAACCGATTTTATTCATTCAATCACACATATGCACCGTTATTAGAAAAATACGCTCTATCAATTTTATTAAGGTAACTCACTTATTGACCTACCTGGGTGCAATACTGCAAAAGTCATGTGCAAAACGGTAGATCGGAAGTACACAAAATTCCTATTGGCCTCGATAAAAGAGACTGTAGGAAAATTATCGGAATACTGGTTACTGTCTGACCGATCGTGAAGACTGCAGAAAACGTTTTGAGCAGGACGATGGAGTATCTCTTGTGCACTTGTTCCGCATTGGCAAGACTACACTGTCAGCATCTGTGGTCCCCATTGTGTGATACACTGGAGGAGTATTGATAGTTAAGCCACAGATTTTTTTTAAATTCGCGTCAAGCGCAGGCACCAAAAAGGATGAATACTTCTCTTGGACCCAGGAACTGAACTCCATCTGGTATTGCAAAGGACCAAAACTGGTCTATGCGTGGCTTATTGGCCCACCAGTTTAATAGCATATTAGCCGATACATGTGATTTTCCCACAGTAACTCAGGAATATCAGAAGAAAGTTATGCACTGAATTTGGTAGAAGTCGGTAGAGCGGATAACAATATACGTATTTCATTTCACCTAAAGGAAGGCGGTTCCACGCCCATTGTCCAGTTTTTATCCCATTAAATTTTTACGCCGGCGCCGGGTTATCTTCCGATCTCATCCACACACATTTCACACTGTCGGTTGAGTTCTTATAGGATATACGTATCTAAAGTGAGTTTGGTTACTTTATCTTGAAATGTTTGGGAGATATATACATCAAATCTATAAGGGGGCCAGTGCCAAATTACAGTTCTTTATCATAATTTACTGTTTAATTATGGCACTTTATAGGTTTTCATTTAATGGCGTTTTGTGGTCGTGGCAGTAATCCAATTACGCCCATCTACGAAATCATGCTCACTTTTTAATCAAGAAATACTTGGACCAAATTGCTTGCATAGATGGACAGACAGACCGACAGTCTCTCGGATTTTTACTCATCTCATCACCCTGAGTATTTATACATATACACCCGGTGAAAAATCACATATATATGTTTAATGGAAACCCAGAAACCAAAGTTTTTTATGAATCATAATAATTTAACAATGGAATACATAACAAAATAAAATAAAACTATTTGTTAAAGAAACTCATTATTGTTTTATAGAACACCCCCTAATTATATAATTTTTTCCACTTCTTTTACACTTTTTTGCCCATATGATCGGATTGAGATCTAAACTGTTTCCTCGCTACGTAAGAGACTCAATTTCACAAAAACGGTTTTGGTTTGTAACCTGTAAGTGCTTACAATGAATTACTGAAAAATCTAGTTTAATATTTTCATGCTTTAGTCCCCTTTTGGCTCCATGGCAATGGCCGGAATCATTACGAAAATAAATCTTTTGAGTTGCTCAAAAGCTTCCTTTAAAAACTCCAATGTATTTTTCGGCATTTCCAGATCCTTTAAGAATAATAAGCCGTCCAATAACAAACTACATGAAATAAAGCAAATATTCACCTTTCCTAAGATACTATGTGGCATTACCACGTTATCCAAATAAATTAAATTTGGATTCGTCGAAAAAAGTAACATTTTCCCATGTCATCACGACTATTTTGAAAACATTGAAACCACTCGTGCACTCTGCTATTGCTCTTTGTTCGAGGCTCATTTTCGCACCGATAACACAAACATACTTACATATTTAAAACGGAATAACTTCACTTCCAATGAAATAATGAAATGTCACGAAACCCTCACTAAATAATCGATAAAGATAGTAGATTCTAACGCACAAGTCGACAAATAGATGGSGCCACCAGGGGGCGCTAGATTCTGTTTTCTTTGGAACGTACCTTGTATAAAAAGCCAGTCGCTGTTCAGAAACTAGAGACAAATAGGAATGTCATCACTATCACGTTGGTTTCGCTCAAAGGCCTGCGGACAACGTATTTTTTAAACGGGTAAAAGAAAATGGAGAACATCTGTGTCAAAAGCTTCGAAAAAGTTCAACTACCTTATACATATATTACAATTTGTATTTGCTAATGATAAAAAARMATTCTCTAGCAGCATGTTRCAAGAGTACAATAAATAYTTAGAAATTTYAAAATACCATGCTTTCAAATAGTATACACTTTTTCTTAAATTAGAGAAAACTAATGCATATGCCCCGTTATGGTATAAGGAAAAACCATCTCTCAATTTTATTAAAATAAATCACATATTGGCCAATATATAGTGT